CCGGGTAAACACTTGGGCAGGGTCCTATGTGGTATGGGATCGGATGCTCTACATATATCTATGTGGATGTGCCGTGACTCTGTGGAACTAGGTAACAAGTCCCACGGGAGCTTGACAGCTACCAAGCTAGTGCATGAGGTGAGATGGTGTGTAGGTAGTCAGCTGGTGACGCACGTGAGGGCACGCTGAGCTCGAATAGTCCGGGTACGATCGTGTCAATGAGACCCGAACATGAACAGCCGACTAGATGGAAAGCATGTTCCTGTGACAAGCCACAGCCACGTCGGTCTGCCTGATCGGGAAGTCATTGTCGGCCTTGCTGCATCTGAACGTCTCTCTCCGCCACGGCGAGTCATCGTATAAGCGCTTGTCTACCTCAAGTCGTCTTCTCGGTGTTGTTGTTGCCATGGCCGAGTGTCTGCGCGCACCCACAAACAGAGAGCGTTTTACATTGGCACACAAAGAAGCAGGCTGGTGATTGAGAGGCCAGCGCATCGACGATAAAAAGGACGATGAGCGTTGGTAGTGGACAGACTATCGCATCCTCTATGCAAGGTCTTGTTGTCGTCTGTTGAATACTGCGCGTCCCAGCCTCTCTCCGCAGATTGGGCGAGTCGGGTGCCCCACTCGAGGTAGTGGTGGAGTCCCACAGCGTATAGGTGTATGTCGAGAGTGAGAGAAAGGTAATTGCAGAGCGTTTACCGCTCCCGCTCCGTGACAACGGGCAGTAAGTCGGTGCCGCATGCAGGGCGATTGGCGTGGTAGGCGACTATCAGCCCAGCCTTCCGATGCACGTCCGCTGCGGCTTGACTCTGTGGCAGAAGTGCTAGCGGGCTTAACCTCGCTGATATGGAACATTCTAGCAACGTTTTTAGGACCAAAATCCCAGCTTAATTTTTATCCGCCCTGGATCTCAACCAACAGTCGCTGCAGCCAGACTAATTTTCTAGTGACACCGTCCAGGCCGCTATCCTTCCGCAGCTCGCCCCCATGGTTCTTCCCTCCTTCTTCGCATCCTCAAAGAAGTCGTCCAAGACCAGAGATATCCCCAACCTTGCCCCCCGACCCTCCCCCCAGGCTAACTCAGGCACCCCTCCGGCCTCGCCTGACAAGCACACCCACTCCAAGGTCAAGGACCGGGAACGCTCCTCCAGCCGCCGCTCGAGCTCCTACTCGTCCAAGCGCTCGTCCAAGTACGACCGCGACTCCCACCCGCTAAACCTCCCGCCCGAGGAGCGCCAGCGCCTGTCCTCGCAGATGTCGGCCATGGATCAGCCCACGCCCCAGCCAATGGACGTGGACCGGGAGCACTCGTCCTCGCCCGCCCCCTCGAGCCCCGTCGCAGACACGCCCAAGACGAACGGCGCCAACGGCGCCCCCGACGGGCCTGCTCCTCCACCACACCGCTACACCAAGAGCCCGCCGCCGCCCACTGCCAACTACGCCGCGACCCCCGAGGCTGCCACCCCGCCCGCTGAGCCCCCGACGATAGACGCCGAGGAGTACAAGGCGGCCGGCAACAAGTTCTTCAAGATCAAAGACTACCCGCGGGCCATCGAGGAATACTCAAAAGGTGCGTAGTGACACTAGCCATGCTCTAGCCGAAGCTTTGCACTACAGTACACCGGGAGAGCTTCTGGCTAACCAATCCGCAGCGATCGAAGCCGACCCCAAAAATGCCACCTACTACTCGAACCGGGCCGCCGCCTACATCTCCGCCAATAAGTTCTACGAGGCCATGGAGGACTGCAAGATGGCCGACGAGCTGGACCCCAACAACATGAAGATCCTCCTGCGGTTAGGCAGGGTATACACCAGCCTGGGACGGCCCGACGAGGCTGTGCAGGTGTACGACTCCATCAACGCCACGGCCAAAGACAAGCAGCCTGCATTGACAATGCAGAAGCACCTCCGCATGGCCGAAGACACGTCACGGAACGAGGGCTCGGGTTCCATGGTCATATACGCCCTCAACGAGGCTGAGAAGGGTCTCGGTGTTGGTGTAGACAAGCCCCGGAAGTGGCAGCTCATGCGGGGAGAGGCACATCTGCGCATGGGCAATGCCAATGCACTTGGAGAGGCACAAAACGTAGCCATGTCGCTACTACGGTACAACAACCAGGACCCCGACGCCCTCGTACTGCGCGGCCGCATCCTATACGCCCAGGGCGAAAACGACAAGGCGGTGCAGCACTTTAGACAAGCACTGGCATGCGACCCCGACTTCAAGGCCGCTGTCAAGTACCTGCGAATGGTGCAGAAGCTGGACCGCATGAAGCAAGAGGGTAACGCTGCCTTTAAGTCCGGCAGGTACCAGGAAGCCATCGACACCTACACGCAGGCACTCGCAGTCGACCCCTCGAACAAGAACACAAACTCCAAGATCTTACAGAACCGAGCCCTGTGCCACAGCCGGCAAAAGAGCTGGAAGCAAGCCATTGCAGACTGCGAGAAGGCTCTCGAGCTTGATCCAAGCTACACAAAGGCACGGAAGACCCGGGCGAAGGCCTTGGGAGAGAACGGCAACTGGGAGGAGGCAGTACGTGATCTCAAAGCTATCCAGGAAGAGAACCCATCGGAGCCTGGCATTGCCAAAGAAATCCGCGATGCCGAGATGGAGCTTAAGAAGAGCAAGAGGAAGGACTACTACAAGATTCTCGGGATCGAGAAGGACGCCACAGAGACACAGATCAAGAAGGCATACCGAAAGCTGGCCATTGTACATCACCCCGACAAGAACCCAGACGACGCGGATGCTGCAGACAGGTTCAAGGAGATTCAAGAAGCACATGAGACTCTGAGCGACCCACAAAAGCGCGAGAGATACGACTCCGGCGCTGATCTTGTCGACCCCAACGACATGTTCGGCGGCGGAGGCATGGGAGGAGGCATGGGCGGCATGGGTGGCGGCATTGACCCAGAGATCCGTAAGTACTGTTACAACTATGGGAGAAGGTTCACGACTAACGCGATACACAGTCATGCAAATGTTCGGTGGCATGGGCGGAGGCATGGGAGGCGGCCGTGGCGGCGGAGGTGGCTTCCACTTCAGCTCCGGCGGCGGTGGAAGTCCGTTTGGCGGCATGGGCGGCATGCCCAGCGGTGGCCGAAGAGGAGGACCGCCCGGTGGTTTCCCCTTCTAAACGCCCTGACCATACCCACGTAACGACAACCACCACCACGCTCCGTTTCAAACACATCATCCGACCTTTGATTCGTGTGTATACCCTTGGCAGAACATTTCCGACAGATTTCATTCATGGCGTTGGATACAGGAGATGCGCGAGCAGTAGATACATAGACGGTCGTTTGGATCGCTCTCCTGTATTTGGGTGCGAAGCATCGATTTTCACATTGGCCTTCGAGGGATTTGAGCATTGCCTGGCGTCTCTCATTATTATCTTGTGCATGAAATCTGCCTGAGGAAATGATAGCCGTTTGTGACTTATTGGAAGAAGTAGTGTGAAACGAAATCTCAGAAGTTAACGATCAAGAAGAGAGCGTCTTTGCATGTGTGATTGTATTCGTGATTGGTCTTCAAAAACTGTGATAGTGTCACGAGATCATACTTGTAGCTCAGCTTGCCTTTATCCGTGCGTGTCTCACCGTCTAGAGTGTGGTACATGAGTATTGCTGCATGATGGGAAGGGAACGAATGACGTAATGCGCACTAAAACAACGCGAAAACCGCCTTATACTGACTCAATACCACATCTTCAATCCCTTCAAAAACTCAACTCCAACATTCCATTCTTGAGGATAGAATTTACGCCGATGAATGCCAGCTTGCACACCAACTATTCCCGTGTCACATCAGCTTTGCAACAATCTTAAGCTACAACAATTTTCGCCGGTATTGGATCTCACGGCAGCTTTTGCGGTTTTGACAAGGCGGATAGAGCAGTTATTTAAACACATCCTGAAGAAGAGATTGCAAAGATCGTTGGAAGAACAAACGGGTCGCTAAGACTGCTTTTAAACGCTACTCGGCTTTCAGTGGCAGCATCCCCAACCTATACACATCATGCAACAACCACCACCTAGACGCGGCCGTCCAAACCGCCAAACCGCTTCCTCAGAACCATCAAGAGGCACTCACACAAGCCGTGGCCGTGGCGACTCCAACCCCATCTCAGATCGAGGACGAGGACGAGGAGCATCCAGAGGCAGAGGACAAGGCCGCGGTCGCGGCAGACCCAACTTCAGACCGGACCCTGACAATCCTCCCGTTCCCTCATTCGCATACATACACCCCGGAACCAGCGTCTCAATAGTCCTCAAACAAGATCAACCCACCGGTCACCAAGTCCGCGGTATCGTCGCCGATCTGCTAACGCGAGGCGATCATCCGCGAGGTGTGAAAGTGAGGTTACGCGATGGAAGGGTGGGGAGGGTGCAGAAGCTTGTTAGTGAGAGCGAAGGGCAGCAAGGTGAGGCTGTTGTTGGAGGCGCTGGTGCGGGGTTGGGTAGGGATGGTGAGGGCGGTGGGAGCAGTATGGGTAGAGCGGGTGGAAGGATGGTTGGGGGCAGGGTGGAGAGAGACATTAGGGATGAGGATGAGTATCTTTATGATGAGGGGAGGAGTCGGAGACAGCCGGCTGATGTGGGACTTTTTGCAGCGTTGGAGGAGGCGGATCGGAGACATCAGGGTGGAACGGGTGCGGATGTGAGTGGGGTTGAGGTAGCGACGTGTCCAGTTTGTGGGGAGTTTGAGGGTGATGAGGCGGCAGTTGCGCATCATGTTGAGGAACATTTTGGGGGGTAGTCCATGCACATGGACGGCTTGCTGTGTCTCCGACTTGTTTGGATAGTTTTCTATGTACTTATGCGTTTGGTTTGAGTAGCGCGTCATCATCCTCGCTGTATCAACGTCTCTCATACGCACCACGGACGTCACAAAGTAACCTCCCGCCTTCATCATCATCGTGTCTTCTGTGAGCAGTACTCGCTATGTAGTCCTAATCGATCCTTATAGCCGCACCGCCCATTCCGTAAAAACCTCAGTTGTAGGTGACTTTGACCCTACGGCGGAGATCAACTTCGAGAAACTGGTCCCGTATCCACCCAGATCCATCTCCCCGACCACGCTTCATGCTCTCATGCGCACGATGATGACTGAGAATGTGCTGTCTGGCGCTGTTGTACTCCGCCACGAACTCGGTATCCTCCTCCCAATCTCGAAAAAACTCTTCGGCTACTGAAGCTTCGTCCCATTGACGAGTCTCGTTCGTGTCTTGGATGATGTTGTTGAGGTTGTTGTGGCCGCAGGTGTAGACTCGGGCATCTCTATATGCCAGGTCGAGATGAGCGATATAGTACGCTATGTCGCGCTTCAAACTAGGTACTTGGTCCTTCTTGCCTTTGACCTCTTTACTCAGCTTGGTGACCTCTGTCTTCAAGCGGTCGATCTCGGGCGCACGTCCGGCATTGATTGTGTTGCGGACTGCCAAGATCTGAGTGTGCTCATTACGGTGCCTGTAGACATGTTAGCGACATATTCAGTAGAGAGAAACTTGATAGTAGCTCTTGGGGAAGCCTGGAGGAATTCGCAGCACTCTCATGATTCATAGGAGCGCTGAAAATACACTGAAGGTCTCCTGGGTCTATCGAGAGTCAAGAAGGAGATTGAAAGACATACCAATCTCGCGATGACTCGGCTGCAGCAAGCTTGGCTTGAAGGTCGTCTAGCTCTCTCTTCTGACCGTCGATCTGTGTCTTCAGGCGCTCTGCATTGATTGTGCTCATTTGCACACTCTGAGCGTATTGTCGATTCTGACTTGAGTGCTGGGCGAGCTGCGTTCGCAGATCGCCGACCTCCGCTTGACTCATGGCGGCCTCGTTTGAGCGAATGTTGGCTTCGGACAATTCGCGTTCAAGAGATCCGACCCTGCGCTCAAGTCGACTATTGTGGTCCTGGGACGAACGTAGCCGGGCGTGAGTGTTCTCCGCATCTTGTACCGCTGCAGTCGCGTCATGGCGTGTGGCTTCCAACTCCGACTCTTTCTCTGTGTCAGAAGTCTGGAGTGCTTCAACTCTGGCGCGAAGTACCTCCGCTTCGGAGACCGCGGCGACGTTGAGTACGTTCGTCTGCTGCAGATTCTTGTTGGAAGCTCTGAGCATGGCGACCACACCCTGTGACTGCTGTAGCTTGCGCTCCAGATCGCTGTTCTTGTATTGTGCAACAGTCAGATCCAGGTTCAGTCTGAAAAGATCTTTCTCGTCGTCGCTGTCAGAACCATTGTTCTCAGATGCGACGGCGCTGTGGGAGAGGGGTGTAAGCTGCTGCTGTCGTCCTAGATGACTGCCTTCATCATCGTTGTCGAAGGCGGCGGAAGCCATGTTTTCGGGAATACGATGACCGATTTCTGTGCTGCGTGTGTTTGCTGCGGTAATGGTGGGCGAGCAACTCGGGTCGTACCTACCTGATGCACAGCAGGGTCCATGCTTGGCGGAGCGTCCTCACCAGGGAGGAAGGCACGCCAGGCGCAGATGTGAGCGATGAACGGTGAACTACGAAAGAGAAAATGTGAAATCAAAATGACAGCGGCTGGCCTTTATAGGAGGTCAACCTGCGAGGTTCGCGACAAGCTTTGACGCTTTCCAAGCACCGCGACAGGATGATGGCCGTTTGCTCACACCGTCTGTTCGCGCTGGTGAGAGAACACAGCCCATACAAGCAAGCAATGAGAGTAATTCTTGAAACGCGAGTTGCAGACATGTGATCATTGTACAGAAAATCATATACAAACGAGAGATACAAGCAAAATGAACAGAAAGGGTTGACACATCCTTGTGTTGTCAGGCGGCCAACCCTCACTCATTACCTGCTAGAGTCGCTTCTCCATTGGCGGCGATGTTGATGCCGTTTGAGCCGCCGACTGACTTGCTGCCATCGGAGCCCTGCGTGATGCCCAGGTTTCCACCGAGGTTCGCCGCGGCACCGTCCTCGCCGAGAGTAATACCAGATTCCTCAGAGAACTTCTCAGACTCTTCAGTAGCCTTGACACCGTTTGACTTCTCACCCTCTGCCTCTTGAGCTTCCTGTTCAGCTTCTTTCCTTGCTGCTTCTCCTTCGGCGCGTCCGGGCTGGTTCTCCGTACCAGCGCCAGCACCAGCCGCACCTTCTTCTGACTCTTGCTCGGCGGCGACAGCAGGCTTTTGACCGGCGGCGGCGGACTTCTCGCCCTCTGCTGCTGAAGACTTGGGCTCCTCCGCGGCTGCCGCAGTACCATTGCCCTGCTGATTTCCGCCGAGTTTGAGACCGTCGCCAGTGATACCGCCGCCTGCACCGCCTAGAGTGAGGCCTCCAATCGTGAGACCACCACCTTGCTTCTGAGCCTCGCGGCGGCGACTTCCTTCATTGGTCAACGAGTCCAGACTCTGGAAGCCTGCGTCGCGTCTGACGGGGTGTGCGCGATACGAGCGAGAAGCAAGGTTTGCTTTAGTCTAGTATGAACGTAAGTAAACGAATTGTTCAAGAGGCATCAACAAAAGTGACCATCTATTGACTAGCCAATATGATGCATTGGATCAACGTACTGCCCATAATGTGCGGGGAGGCACGGCGAATGCATCTACGAACGATACGGCCAGTAGACCAAGAGTCAATTCCAGAGTGACCTTCATGTCGAGAGTGTACTGTTTAGTGGATAAAAAGAAGTTGTAAAAGGGATCAGCTGTCCGGCAGCAGTACTATTAGAAGACTGAGAAGTGAGGAGTCCTACTGGCGAGCTCACCAGAGGCACATCCTCAGGTCTTTACTGCGAATAAAGGCTCCTCAGGCCCATGAGTCTCGGTGACATGCGCTTGCCTCAGCCACCCGTCGCTGGCATTGCCGAACAACTGATGGAACGCTCTCACGACGTTTACAGGCCAGCTTGGCGATCGAGAGTGGTCGGAACAGTGTGTCAAACGCCAGTGCGCGGCGGGGCCGACCGCTCGCTAGGATGCTGGGGTTCTTCATGTCGCAAAAGCGTCGCAGCTCCCGTCTGGGCCATGATCTTCGACCGCTCGGAATGTTCGGCCTCAGAGGAAGCCGTCCTCGAAAGCCCAGCAGAGCTAGACCCATGGTTAAGTATTCCAAAGGCTGTCTTGTGTGTAGTGTCGTGAAAGCCAAGACCAGATTTGAACGGAACCCTGGCATTTGTGTACGGCGCGTTGACAGTTGGGTCTCGAATCAGAACAGAACCTAGTTGTCGTACGAGTTTCTCAATTATCATAGAGCCTCGCGAGGCTGCTGCGTGCATCGCGGGATCTGTCTAGCGGAGCAAGGTCGCGTGTGGATGGAAATAATCAGGAACTCCACACGTCCATATTGCGATTGCCTCTATGACACGGATAGACGCATGTTTTCGTGAGAAGCATGACGGGAAGTGAGGAGAATGGGCCCGGAAAGAGATGGGATGGGATGCGTTTGGCGCCCGGGCGAGAATGGCGATGACGACTAGCGGCCACGCGAGATTGACGCGCTAGTGTCGATGACTAAACCCGCACAACAATTATCCAGGACTTCAACCTGGGCTCTCCCATGCGCCTCACATCACAATGACCCCTCATTCTTTCTAGTTGATTCATTGCGACTCCTCATTCAATTTTCCATACGTGTCTGCGTCGTGGACTTGGAGTCGGAGTCATTTCCTGTTCGAGCGCGACGATATGCAAAACATTCTCGCCTTTCAGACGTGTCTTCGTACTATGGCCTGACGAGGCTCAGTGCTATGTTACCCATTCAATCCAACAAGTTTACTGACGTGAAGCCAACAGCCCAGATCGCATCGATGTCCTCCGTCTACACGAATACGTATACAGCATACCTACCTACATCGAAACACCACCAGCCCTGCGCACCCTTATCCAGTCAACAAACGCTCTCCTTCATATTTGTACAGCTTGAACGCCTCGTGTAGTGACCCCGCAGTCTCGCCGGGAAAGAGATGCAGAAAGAAAGCGTAGCCTTTCTTGCGCTTTACTTTCCACAGGAAGAGCTCCCGCTTGGCTTCATCGTTCCAACCGGTGAACACAAATTCGCCATTGTTGCTAGGTGATGGGGCTTTCACTGTCTTTCGAGGAGCTACAGGTGTACCTCGCAAGGCACTATCACGGCTACCAGGAAGTGGAGTTGGAAAGGCTGCGGAATAATGATTTAGCGGAAAGACTACCAAGGTGTTTTGGGTCATCTTACTGCCTGGCTCACGCTGCTGAAGATCTATTGGAGCTTGCGGCTGCCCAATGGAGTTTAAGACACCAGGACCATGTAGGCCCCTCGGCACTTGGTTTTGCCTAGGGGCTTGTGGAGGTGCGGCTGCTGTTGAAGATCCAGAGGCCTGCGGATTGGCTCTGCCTGTCCTGGTATCTGGCTGAGTACGACGAGAAACCACGAAGGCCTCGCCGGTCCATACCCTGTCGTCGTCCACGTATCGCCAAGCCTGAGCCGGGTCTTCCCATGGAGGTGGATTCGCCGCTGGGGCTACGCACGAAAATTAGATTGAAGACTACAGTATGGTTATAATGGCTTACGTCGAGTGTGTAGGCGACTGGCTGGTCCATGTGGCTGCATGAATGAAGGTGCGAAGTCCCCGTCGTTGTTGGGGAACAGCGATTCGTCCAGGTATTTCAGGGGGCGGTATCCACTACCACCAGAAGGTTCTCTGTGATCGGAGCTGCTGTTTTCGAGATCATCGGCCATGATGGTTTATATGATGGATATCTGGTATAAGTATGAAGTTGAAGAGACGGTCATGAGACAATGAGTTTATAGACACTGAAGGCGCGGAAAGTAAGGCAGGATCGACGGTGAGCACGTCATTCTTCTGAGTGTATATACCAGGTGAAGGCAGGAGAAGTTAAGTAAAACATCCCTTCGCTATTCAAAGAAGACGTGGCCTTATTGTTCCTCGACTCACGCGTGTATACACCTTCTTTATGTAACAATACGAGTACGTTTGCTTGTTCCGCACGTAGATGGGAGTTGATCACTTGCCATTCGAGAAAGCTAACTATTGTGTAGCTATGATAAACGCTGGTAATGAAGTCACATCCGAGGTCGGTATCATGATCAAGGAATCAAGAACTAGGCAGTCTACCGACCAAAGGCGAAGAATCTATGAAACATTGCAACCCTACTAGCTTGTTTGTACAGAACACCACGAATGTGTCATTCAAACCAGCTTTCCGCTACGCCTTTTACTGGTGGGCCAAACGCTCATATCACTCACTGATACCGACCGAAATATGGACTGCCTGGAAGTACCGAGGGCGCCTCGATCCTCTGACAAGCCATTATAGGGCCTTCGTGACCTGAGGAGGCAGGAACTCTGTGGTTCGTCGACACGACGCCTGGCTGTGTTGCGTTGCCCAGGGCGTTGTCATTGTAGCCTGAACCCCACGGTAGCGGATGGTTCTGAACTTGGTAGTGGGCTGCTACCGGGAAGTTATGTTGTCGAGCAACAGGCTCGAAGGACGATCGAAAACCTTGGGCAGAGTACCGTGGAGGACCGATATGTACGTTCTGATAGGCGTACGGTCCATGCACTTGACTGAAAGCTGCCCGGGTGGGCGTCGCATACTTGACTGAGGAGTTCTGTCAGCTTGGAACTATATTGGACTCTCTGTAATACTGACCTTGATCCATACTCAAAGCGCTGCCGAATGCTCGTCGAAACGCCATAATAATCTGAACCAGAGTCTTGCTGTCAATGTGGTACGACAGCCGCTGGAAGCTCATTTGTAGCGCGAGCATTGAATTACCTACGGCCGCGGGCAGTAGGTCAAATGCGCCATTGAGGGCCGTTTTCAGCGCGTTCTCGTTGATGTTAAGAGTGGCTGCGAGCACGGCCAGAGCAGACTGCGCTGCTGGGCTGCCCTCGCTTGTGTGGACGGCGACTTCTGACTCCATGTAGCCGAATTGAAAGAAGTGGGGAGAACTGGTTGACTTTCGTGAAGGTCGTAAGTGATACGAGGTGAGCGGAACTAGGCAGTTACAGTGGAATGTAACTGTGGAGGTGTTTCACGGTGAATATCGCGTTGCCAGGTAGTTTACCTCTAAGTTTCGACAAATGAATTGGCAGTCGTTCGGTTTACAGAGTCCTTTACGCAGAGTGCCTCGATATTGCCACGGTTCGATGTATTTTAACTCAGTGTGTTACTGTGCCTGCGAGTAGCTGGTCACTGCACGTCCATGTCACCAACCCATCGAGCTTCATTGAGCGTTGATGATACTTGAATCCCTCGATGCTTGCATCGCTTGTCAAACAATGTAGCGATGGCGCGTTTTGATGAACATGGTGGACTGTCGCGTCATCAGGCTCGTGATGTGCTGTCTCTAATTCCAGTACACATCCTGTCAAAGTCCCTATGGACTCGGGCCTGGACGTCTTGAACAAAAAGAAGACTAAACAGGTTTACAGACTACAGTAGATTAAAAATATGTAAAGTGGGTAGCTTAACGTTGATGTAGGCTCCAGGGTGGTCGGGCATTTTCTAGGTTGACGTGTGGAGGCTGGCGGTGGCAGGCCGAATAGGGCTAGGGCGTCGCGCCACAGCTGTGGCTCAGCCGCCAAAACCAAATAACGTCATTGTTCACGAGTTTCGCTTCGTGGAGGCAGCTGCCCACTTCCTACGCCTAGCCAACAAACCTAGTATCCTGCTTTATGGTCGATCCAGTTTCCGCCCATTGAATTGCCACTTCCTCACCCTCCAGCTCAGCAGAGCCCATCGCCCGCCTCCACAACAACCATGGCAACACGTCGAAAAGCCGACGACATCAATGGGGGCCCTATAACAGCTGGTATGCCCAGCGGTACCATTCGCTCACCCACCTCATCCGCGCGTCGATCGCCCTTCCTCCCCACCCGCCTCGAGGCGCAGCTCATCGCCATCTACCCATTGACGCTCCTCATGGGTAGCGTGTTCAGCATAATATCGCCCTCAAACCGCAGCGCGCCCTACTCCGCCGTCCTCCAGTCCCACCCCGCCGAATTCGCGCCCTCGTACTTCGCGCAAAAGAAGAACATCTTCAACGTATACTTTGTCAAGCAAGGATGGTTCTGGACGACACTAGCCTTCGCCGTCTTCGTCACCTTTCACCCTGGATTCGGTCAGGGTGCCAGCGCGAGACGCATCCGAGCGGTGATGCGATATGGCGTCGTTACAACATGGTGGTGCTTCATGACGCAGTGGTGCTTTGGGCCGCCGCTGATTGATCGCGGGTTCAGGTTCACGGGAGGTCAATGCGAAATCATCAGGGACCCCGAGGCGAGGGAGGAAATGAGCACCACGAGAGAGTACATTACCGCGGCGACATGCAAGGCGGTTGGTGGGACATGGAAGGGCGGACACGACATCTCTGGACACGTCTTCTTGCTCATACTCGGCTCGTCACTCCTGTGGCTAGAGTTCCTGCCTGCGTTGACGCGTGTAGAGGGACTGAGGGATGGAAGGCTCATCACCTTGCCTGATGGCAAAGTTGCGAGCGTTGCAGTGGAGAAAGACCTTGTCAAGTCTGAGGGCGAGGCTACTGCGCGTGGCGTCAAGTTCGCGCTCGGTGTCGCCGCGCTGATGTGGTGGATGCTTCTCATGACGGCTGCCTACTTTCACACTTGGTTTGAGAAATTCACGGGCCTTTTGGT